GAACTGTCAATCGAACGAATTTGTATTTAATAACAAAATCAACTTGTAATCAAATTAATTTTGATTATAGTAAATAATTATAAAAAATTAAATTACGTTATAAAGAACTTAGTTGTATTAATTATTAATACCAAAAGTACCAACTTTGAAAAATAATTCAATTGGATAATAAATTGGTATTAAACTAATAATAATTAATACAAACAATAAGTCTTAATAATTTTATAATCAATTAAAAAAAAAGAAAAATTAATAATACAAACTCACTATTTTGGAACAATGATATTTAAATTATATCAGTAGACAAAAACACTCAAAAATAAAATTTATACCTATATCAATAGTTGAAAACGAAGAATACTTTTTCGATAGAATTGTTATACGAAATACGAACAATAAGACATAAAAACTAGTTTTATCTTGAAGAATCAAAAGATGTCAAACCAGTTAATAGCACACAACGGCAAAGTCCCCGTCGTCGCCAAAGATGCTTTTATTACACCGGGCGTATACTTAATTGGTGACGTCGAAATTCACAGCAAGGCCAACATCTGGTTTAATGCCGTCCTTCGAGGTGACATGGCCAAGATAGTTATTGGAGAGAACTCAAATGTTCAAGACTGCTCTGTTGTCCACACTTCCATTGATAAGCCCACTATAGTAGGAAAAGATGTTACTGTTGGTCATTCCGTCATTCTTCACAGTTGTGAAATAGGTGACGGCAGTTTGATTGGGATGGGTTCCACTATATTGGACGATGTCAAAATTGGGAAGAATGTTTTAGTCGGTGCAAATTCACTTGTCACCAGTCGCACAGTCATCCCAGACAATTCACTCGTTATGGGTTCGCCAGCAAAAGTCGTCAGGCCACTTAAAGAAAAAGAGTTGGAATATTTGAAGGAGAACGTTAGAGAGTACACTGAAGCTATCAAAGGATATGACTTGCCACAACCACAAAACTTATAAAACATTTTTAATACATTTTGTTATATATAACATTTCTCGGGGTTATTAAATGTTATTCAACCGAAAAAAATTGATACCTAAAGAAAACCTATAAAGAATTATAAAACAACTATAAAACAGAACCTTCGCCTAAAGATCTTTTAACAAACTGAAAAACGTAATGGGAGAGCCAAAAGTGTTTGTAGGCAATTTGCCTCGCGACGTGACGGAGAACGAGTTGAAGACATATTTCACGAAGTTTGGGGAAGTTGCGTATATCAAGCTGAAGGTCGGATACTGCTTTGTCGTTTGTTCTGGGGCAAGTGCTATTTCTGGATTAACTCGAAGACTTTTAAGAACGAAGAAGACACAAAGAAGGTGTTTGAATCGAAGGAACCCTTGATATTGAAGGACTCAACTTTAAGAGTCGAGCAACCGAACAGCGGAAGAACACGAGACGAAGATGTCTGCTTCTACTGCCACAAAAAGGGGCATTGGACAAGAGACTGCCCCGAGAAACGAGGGCGGTATAGAAGTCGAAGTCGGTCGAGAAGCCGAAGCCGATCCAGGAGATCACATCGGGATCGACGAGGTCGATCATCTTCATCGAGAAGAGATCGTTCACGAAGTAGGTCGAGGAGTGATTCAAGACGAAGGGGACGAAGTGATCGATATAGAGATCGAAAAGATTCTCGGAGCAGATCGAGAAGTAGTTCGAGGGGTAGAGGAAGAGATTCTACCAAGAGGGACACTGAAACAAAGAAAGTGGATACCAAGGAGACTGCATTTACGTGTGATATAAACGCACAAGAGAGTACTGGTGAGAAAACGCAAGAAGTTGTGTTTTGCTCAAACTGTCATAAGAGAGGACATTCGTCAAGGCATTGCCCAGACCATGGACGCGACTCGCGAAGTCATTCGAGAAGTCGAAGTCGCTCGCGGTCAAGTAGAAGGTCACACCGAGACAGAAGAAGTCGATCACGTTCACCAAGGAATCACTCAAGATCGTACCGCAAAAGATCACATAGTAGAGACTCGAGGAATTAATTATGTTGGTTTGAATTGGTTTCTTTTCTTAGTTATGAAGAATCTCAAGAACTTTAAAACTGAACCCAAATGGCAGACACCTGCATCTTCTGTAAAATCGCGAAAAAGCAAATTCCATCGACTGTCGTCTATGAGGACGACGACGTCTTTGCGTTTAGAGACATCAACCCAATAGCACCAGTCCATATATTAGTGATTCCTAAAGTCCACATCCCATCATTGAATGAACTCACAGAGAAAGACACTGAGTTCATCGGAAAAGTCTTGTTGAAAGTTCAACAGATTGGGAAGAAGGAATGTCTTAATGGGTATAGAGTGATTAATACATATCGGAGATGAGGCTGGCCAGACTGTTAAACATATTCATTTCCATATTGTCGGTGGAAAGCCTTTAGCTTGGGACAAGCTTTAATTGCAAGAAGTCTTGTTTTTCGTCCATTTGATTGAAAAGAGGAGGCATAGAAACCCCATAACAAATGCTATAAAAATAGAATAAAATTACTATGAACAAAACTAAACAAAGTGATGGGACACTATCAATTCAAAGCTAGAAACTCACTTAGGCGGGCGCTAAAAAGTTCGATGGGACAAACCCACGCTTCCCATTGATCTCACCCTCGTA